GAGTTGCCTTAGGCCACCCAGCAGGTTTCCATGAATAAGGAGGAATCAAATCTTGGTCTCTCAGAGTCCTATACTCAAAACCACTGCACCACACTGGCTGTCTTGTGTAGAACTTACTTATAAGTAATTGTGCGTTGCATTGCAGCCTCGGAGGATGTTACGTGCACATTGGGGCACTAAGGTTTTCCTGCAACACAGGCTGGTTGCAATCCCATCTCTCTTATGAGCTTTTATGTGGCTAAAATGCAACAATGTACACACACATGCACAGTTTTTTGTGGGTTTTTCAGGCTGTGCGGCCATGTTCTAGAAGAGTTTCTTTCTGACATTTCGCCAGCATCTGTGGCTGGCATCTTCAGAGAATGCTGGAATGGAAGAGAGTGGGAAGTACACAAATTCCCATATTTATTTTCCAATTTTTCTTCTTCTATTATTCCCAATAAGTACATCTTAGGGTTAATTGGAAATTCTATCTGTAATATTTTAGTTACTTCCTTATGTATCTTTCTCCAATATTCTTTAGCCTCCTTGAATTTCCACCATAAATATATATATACACATATATAGAACCCATAGTCATGGCAGCACCAGAAAGTGAGAAACAAAAGTGCATGTGTGTGAAGTCGAAGGCTTTCATGGCTGGCATCCATAGTTGTTTGTGGGTTTTTTGGGCTCTGTGGCCATGTTCTAGAAGAGTTTCTTTCTGATGTTTCGCCAGCATCTGTGGCTGGCATCTTCAGAGAATGCTGGAATGGAAGAGAGTGGGTTATGACTTATATATATTAAAAAGAAACATATACACACATACACACACACACACACACATTAGACAAACAAACAAAAAAACCACAAACAAAACAAAGAGAAAAAACCAAACAAGACAAAACTTCCTTATCTTTCAAGTCTTGTTATCTCTTATCTTTTATAGTCGACTTCATTTTTTTTACTTTAATCCTTTCCATCATACTCATATCCTCCAAAATAATTTTTATCAATATAACAGTTTTTTTTCTTTCTTTTTTTTTCTTCCCTAAATCTATACCCTACCCAAACTTAAAGGATTCTCTGAAGCTATTTCAAACCCACAACAAAGTTTGGACCCCATTCCTTCTTCCAGTATTCAATCAAAGGTTTTCAATCTTTTTAAAATATATCTATTCCCTTTTTCTTTATCAAACATGTAAGTTTATCAATCTCCATATAGTCATATACTTTTATTTGCCATGTTCTTATTGTTGGTGTTTCCTTACTTTTCCATTTTGATGCATAGCTTATCCTAGCAGTTACTATCAAATAAAACATCAAATTCCCATATTTATTTTCCAGTTTTTCTTCTTCTATTATTCCCAATAAGTACATCTTAGGGTTAATTGGAAATTCTATCTGTAATATTTTAGTTACTTCTTTATGTATCTTTCTCCAATATTCTTTAGCCTCCTTGCATTTCCACCATAAATGATAGAAAGTACCTACAGTACTTTCTTTTCACACTTCCAGCATACATTTGACTGATTTTTTCCCTCATTTTAGCCAGTTTATATGGTGTAAGATACCACCTAAATTGCATCTTGTAATAATTGTCTTTTATATCGTAATTCAGAGTAAATTTTAACCTATTTTCCCAACATTTTTCCC